TTGATATCCTTTGCTGAGCATATCTCTTGCAACATTTTCTGTAAATTTCTTTCTTTGTACTTAAGACTTTATCTAGCTCTCTGCTCTCTGCTTCCACCATCTTAAAAAAAAAAAAAAAAAAAAAGAGAGAGAGACTTTATCTAAACTGTATCAAAGGATGTCAGAAGTTTGAGACCCGCTGTGTCTGAGAATATGTTTATATTACTCTCACCCTTGAGCGGGAGTTTGCTCATGGAAAGTGTTGCAGGTTCTAGGTAATTTTCTTCCCTGCTTTAAAATATTACTTCATTGTTAACTTGTATGTACTGTTGCATTTGACAAATCTGATACAACCTGACCTGTGTTTGTTCAAGTGATCTGTGATTTCTTAAAATATTAAATAAAGACAGGATCCAACCCTCAGCCCACTCACACCAGTTGCGGCCCCACCTCTCTTCTGAATGCTGCGCGCTGTCTTATCTTAGACCTTGCCAGGAGCAGACCCTGCAGCAAGGACTCAGGTGTGAGTTGTGTTTTGGGAGGTGTATGTGCCGAAGGAGGGAGTTCGTGGCAGGGAAGGGTTGGTAGCCAGTGATGTGCCCTGGGAAGCTGTTTCCACCGTGTCCCATCGTGGGTAGCTGGAGCTTCATTCTGCCCAGGAAGTCGAGCCAGAGGAACGTGCTCTGGCGATCTCCCTCATGAGGAGCTACGGAGCCAGGACATTTCTGTACCAGCTCCTGTCGATCATTGAAACTCCCAGGAAATTCCATCCCACTGTGTGCGAGATCAGAAGTGGTAAAGGGATGCAGGGGCTGGGCCTGGGAGTGGAGCCCCCCTGCACCAACAGACTCAGGCTGAGGGACTGGGTGGGGGGTGGGCTGTGCTGGCATCTGATCAGGCACCAAATGCTCTTTCTCCCATCGTGGCGTGTGGTTTCCGAGCAACAACATCCTGACATTGCAAGGATTCCACGATGGTAGAACAGAAGGGATCACATTTGTCTGGTCTTGGGGTGCGTTTGATGAGGAGCGGAGTTTAGCATTGGTTCCTGTAGTCTGAATGGGACTTATGCTGGAGAACAAGGAGCTGAGGTCATTTCTGGTGGAGCAAACACTGAGTGGGGGGTGGAACAGGAGAGCTTGGAGGGGCAGTGGCATTCGGATCAGAGGGGCTGTGAAGTCCACGTGAAAGGTCTTGAGCTTTGTCCTGTGGTCAGTGGTTCTGAACCAGAGGGATGTGTCAGAAATATTGAGGGAGCTTTGGGGAAAACAGAAGTATCTGTTCACAGAAGGTGCCACCAATAAGCATGGGAACTGGCTGCCTTCCTCGCTCACCGGGAAGTGCTGCTGAAAACATCCGCGAGGGGCCGTGTGTGCTCCTTAGACTGGCAAACACTGAAAAGCTCGATGCTACCTAGTGTTGGGAGGACCCAGAGGGTGACGTTCTCAGCGCTGAGGCAGGAGGGAGACGGGGCCGGCCACTCCACAGTGCCAGCCGGTGGTAACTTGTGCCCGCTCTGGAGCCAATCCGTGTCCACCCTCCCGTGTGTACTACAGGAGCACGACCGGATGATGCTTGGTTTAGATGAAAATGCTGTGATGTTTGTGGTGGCAAGAATCTGGAAGTCATGGTGTATCCCTACCATCTCCACAGTGCCAGCCGGTGGTAACTTGTGCCCGCTCTGGAGCCAATCCGTGTCCACCCTCCTGTGTGTACGACAGGAGCACGGACCGGATGATGCTTGGTTTAGATGAAAATGCTGTGATGTTTGTGGTGGCAAGAATCTGGAAGTCGTGGTGTATCCCTACCACGGTCCACTCGGCAATAGGTAAAATGCACAAACCAGCGACATGAGCCTCAATATGGATCCGTGCAAAATGTTAGCTTTGATGAAAAATGTGATATTATGCATAGTGGAATGACAGCTGAGTCCCTTTGCCATTGTGAGTCCCCTGTAGCAAGGAAGTGGCCTTGTATCCCTGCAAGTGGGTGGACAATGGGGGTCAGCGTCCATCCCCTGGAGAGCCGTGGTCAGCCTTTTAGTGTCTGAGACCCAAAAAGAAGAGCAGTTGGCTGGGTGGGCAGGGGTTGATGGATCTGGGTCCATGGGGGTGATGTGTTGTTCCTGGGGGGCTGTCGATTCAGCCATGAAGGTGTTTCCTCATTGGAGCCCACATGCTATGGCCTGTTGTCATGGTGACACATGTGGCAGGGCACTGACATGCCCTCGGCCTGTAGCATCTGGGGGTTTCCCTCGACGGGAAGCCCGTGCTTCAGTGGATGGCCTTAGTGGACAGATGCAGGGGCCGGAGCCACCTGTGGCATGTGGGAGGGGGCTCCAGGGAGACCTTGATCAGTCTCTAAGTGACCCCCAACTTCACGCCCAAACCTGGCTCTGCAGACCAGGGGAGGGTGCTGAGGCCTCCATGGAGAGGAGAACAGGCCCTGCTCTCTGTCCAGAGCTCCGACTGCAGGGGGAGGCTCATCGGCTCTGCTGTGACGCAACCTGAGCTTGGGCTGGGGCCTGGGTCAGAGACAGTTGTTGGGCAACTCCCGCCCTTGATCACGATCTGACCCCTTCCTGCAATGCTGTGTGTGGGGCCCAGGGGAGCTCCGGCAGTAGCGGATGCCGGCAGAGAGGGGGTCTCCAGGAGGGAACACGGCCTGGGCTGAGGATCCTGGACACACAGTTTCACAGCATCCTGAGCACCCTGGAGCTGGGGAGCACATGAGGCCCTGACTGTCCCTCCCTTGGGTGAGCAAGGAATGCCACACACTCTACGTGAATTAAAGCAAAGTACAGCTTGGGGGAAATTAGACCTCAGTGTTTGGGGCTTTCACGCCCAACTGGGCACTGTACAGGGGTCTTTGGCAGGGTAAAACATGGAAAAAATGCCCTAAGATATTAGTCTACCTAGTTCCTCCTGACATGCTCAGCCACATGCCCCCGCCCCCTCCCCAGGGCTGCCTTCCCAGGGGCTGCCATAACCGAGCACAGGGCCTGGGGGCTTAAACAACAGCCATGCGTTCACATGGCCCTGGAGGCTGGAAGTCCAGGACCAAGGAGTCGGCAGGCTGGTTCCCTCTGAGGCCTCCCTCCTGGGCTTGCAGACAGCGACCTCTCCCCATGTCCTCACGTGGTTGTCCCTCTGTGCGTGTCTGTCCTGATCTCTCATTCTTATAAGGACACCAGTCCTATTGGATTAGAGCCCACCCCAATGATCTCATTTTAACTTACTTACCTCTTTAAAGACCCTGTCTCCAATTCTGAGGTCCCGAGGGTTAGGACTTCACCATAAGAATTTGGGAAGGGGACACAATTCAGCCCCTAATAAGGGCCACTCCTGGCTGAATCCACAGACCTCGTCCCCTCCCTAGGGGCTTGGAAGGACTATTGTCTCCCCACCGCCTGGCCTGGCTGTCTTCTCTCAAGTGCACGCAACTCCCCGCACTCCTGGCAAAACCTTCTCCAGCCCTCAGCTCTTCTAGGACAACTGCAAGCAGCTTCCGGCAGCGTCAGAGAGCTGCCAGCATCCCAGACGGCTTGTGCGGCTTCCTGGAACTGGGAAGGGGAAACACACGGGGAAAATTCCACAGCCCTTTCCCCTGATTCCTTTGCAGCTTCAGAACCATGACAGAACAGTCTCTTTGCGACCTGCCCAACACACGTGTGTCCACGAGTGTGTCCACGGACGTGTCCCAGCCTCCAAGGCTCACAATCAGCCGTGTGGGGGTGCAGAAGGGCCTGACAAATGCGTGGAGCTGGGCCCTGGGGGTTGTTTGTCATTATTTCAGGGCCCAGCACTCGAGCCCCTCTCATGTTTGGGGATCCCCCTTGCGGTCGTGACAGGGCAGAGCCTCTCCCCCCGCCCCGAGGGTTGTGTTCCCACCTCCCCAGCGTGGGTGCGTCCTCGGCCTGGCTCAGCTATGGGAAGCCGCCGGCTGTGCTGGCAGCGAGAGGAGGGATGGGCCCTCATCGGTTGGGCTGGAGGGTAGGCAGCGTCCAGGTCATTGCTGCAGAGGGGGGCAGGTGTGATGTGGACCCTGCCCCGGGTCCTGGACAGGTGGCCCTTGCAATGGAGGTGGCAGTGACAGCTTGGGTTCCCTCTTCCTCCTCCTCCCCTCCACGTGGAGGAGTTCACTGCAGGGGACAGAACCCTCCGTGTCCCCACCTACATGGAGGAGCGCACCATGTAGAGCCACCACTGTCCGGCCGGCACTTCTGAGGGCCCAGACACATTCCTGACCTCCCACCCTGAGTAGACCCTGGTGTTAGGCTGCACTGTCCCTTCTGGCTCCTCTGGAAAGGCCGGGTCCCTGGTGTTCCCCTGGCCTCTGATGGCCGCAACCTTTGGCCCCAGTGTGGAGCCTCCTGGAGCTTTGCTTCCGAGTTACTGACCATGAGACTTCAGGGGCTGTGGGTAAGCCTGTTTCTGGACAGACCCTGGGGGCGACTGGACCCAGAAGAGAAAGGCTGTGGGCCGAGGTGCTGAGCCCAAGGCTGAGGACAGATACAGCTGCCTGGAGGTCCCTCAGCCGCGGTGCACATGTCTGTTCTGAAAGTTTCCCTCAGACACCGACCCAGTCGGCTTCTGCTCTGTGACAGGTCCTTTCTTCTTTGTATCTATCACACCCTCTAAACACTGCATTCACTGCCCGTGTCCTTCACTAATGGGACAGGCTCAGGGGCCCTGTTTCCTTCTCCGCCTCCCATGACCTGCCCACCTTCCCCCGGGGAGGAGCGCGGGAGTGTCTGGGCTTCCCACCGATGACCGCCAGTCACCCTGGCCCCAGCGAGAGGAGACGTCTGCTCGGCCACAGCACCTACCCCGCAGCAGGCTCCTCTGCCCTGTACCCACTTCCTGTGTGAGAAGGATAAATGGGGCCCAGAGACAGATGGCGGGGGGCATCGGCGACGCCAACAGGGAAAGGAGCAGCCGCCCTCTGGACCGAACGCCAGAGCCTCCTGCTCCTGGAGGCGTGTTTGGGTCTGAGCTCTTGTCTCTCCAGGCCTCCTGCAGATGCTGTGGCTGCTGATGCTGACCCTCCCCTGTCTGGAGGGCTCCGTGCCCGTGACCCCAGGTGAGTCCTGACCCATCCACTGCCCTGGCTGTCCCAGGACCCTGTCCCTGACCCCAGGCATGGGGACCGTCCAGGTGCCAGTGGATGCTTGCTCCTGAGCTCTGGGGAGACTGTTGTCTAGTCCCCTGATGACCGCTCAACCTGCTGCCCCAGACCCCAGCCCAGGTCGTGAGTTGGTGGGTATCGTCGGGGGCTGTGACGTCTCAGCCAGGCCGTACCCGTGGCAGGTCAGCCTGAGGTTGTACAACCTGTGCTATGGGCTGTGGGAGCACATCTGCGGGGGCTCCCTCATCCACCCCCAGTGGGTGCTGACCGCGGCCCACTGCCTTGAACCGTGAGTAGTGCCCGCCCCGTCCCCTCGTCTGGGTGCAAGTGGGGTGGGGACGGGGGGGGAGGTGCTGTGTGGAGCCCTGGGGTGGGAGGCAGGTTTTTCAGGGGCTCCTCCCCAGTCGTGGGGGAAGCCTGGGCTCTGAGGATCCAGCCTGATCCCCACAGCCACACTGAGCCGGGCCCCCCGCCAGCCTCCTCTGAGTGGCTCCTGGTCTCCTCTCCCCCAGGGAGGAGCTGGAGGCTTGTAACTTTCGAGTCCAAGTCGGGCAGCTGAGACTCTACGATAATGACCAACTGTCAAAGGTGGCTCAGATCTTCCGCCACCCTGACTTCAACTCCAGCCTGGATGTCATGGGAGGCGCAGACCTCGCCCTGCTGAAACTGGAGGCCCCCGTGACGCTGTCTGAGCACATCCATCCGGTCTCCCTGCCGCCTGCTTCCCTGAAGGTCCCCTCGAGGAAGACCTGCTGGGTGACGGGCTGGGGCGACATTGCAGAGCAGACCTCGCCCTGCTGAAACTGGAGGCCCCCGTGACGCTGTCTGAGCACATCCATCCGGTTTCCCTGCCGCCTGCTTCCCTGAAGGTCCCCTCGAGGAAGACCTGCTGGGTGACGGGCTGGGGCGACATTGCAGATGAAAGTGGGTATCAGGGTGATGTGGTGGGTAAGGATGGGGGGCTAGGCCTTTATAGAAAATGACTTTCCCTGTGAACCTTTTGGGAATCTCTCTGTGAGCACATGAATATGGCACCCGGGTTTGGGACAGGAAGTTCCTGGAACAGATGTCAGGATGTGGGACTGGCTCTGGGCAGTGCCGGGCAGGCAGTTCTGGGTGCCGATCCAGATCCCTGCAGACCCCAGCTTGACTCTGGCTACCACAGTGAGGGCGGATGATGCCGCTGTGTTTTCGGGGAGGAAATCCAGACTCACCCAGTTTGGGTGGTCCATTGAGGCCCCAGGCTCCTCCTCTGGACAAGTAGAATTTGTATGGAGGTTCAAGAGTCATGGCGCTGGGTGAGCATCTACATGCGTGGGTGTCCGATGGTCAGACCGCAATCACAATGGACATGGGGAAACTGAGTCACGGGGTTGAGTGTAGCTGCTTCTAGATGCCAGGGTCAGGACTCACAGCTCGGGGCTCTGCCGAAGGTTGGGGGAGACCCAGTGTGGAGTGGAATGGGATCTCCACTGTTGGGAAGAGGCAGGAGCCCCCTGCCACCAGGACCAGCCCCTCCTTCTACCCACAGCGCCGCTGCCGCCGCCCTTCCACCTGAAGGAGGTGGATGTCCCCATTGTGGAGAACAGGGTCTGTAACCATCTGTACCAGAACAGCCCCTTTGTACCAGACAACTCCAGCAAGATCATCAAGGACAGCATGCTGTGTGCCGGGGACAAGGGCCACGACTCCTGCCAGGTGAGACCTCAGACCCTCCCAGCCATGAAATGGGGACCCACAGCCCCAGTGCTGTGGGGCTCACAGGAAGCATTTGCCAAGTGCTATCTCTCTCTCTCTGCAGCTCGACAGTGGGGGCCCCCTGGTGTGCAGGTGGAACTGCACCTGGGTCCAGGTGGGGGTCGTGAGCTGGGGCCACCTCTGCGGTCACGATGGCTTCCCTGGGGTGTACACCCGCGTAACAAGCTACTTGTCCTGGATCCATGAGTACATCCCTCAATTCCCTGGGCCCTAGATGGGACTGGGGTGCAGTCCACGTGATGGGGAAACCCGCAAACTTCCTCGTCGCCACACTGCTCCTCCCACACTTCCAGCCTCACCCTCCCTTTTCACCCCTGCC